ATGGAGACCACTCACGTGTCAATTCGCCCAAATGTGTGATCCTACGTCTTAGCTCCGCGCGAAAAGTATCCACAAAGCAGCATTATTTTGTCAGAACACCGTAAGAGAGTGATCCAGAAAGCAACTAGCGCGTTGCACTGAATTAGACGTGCGAGCGAACGTTGCTTTCGATAACTTCTCGTCAGGCCAGTACAGTTATATTTGGGACAAGGGATTCAGGGCATCGTGTGGACCCCGCTGAAGCATTTCGTGTGATTTATAAGGTCCCTCGAGCTACCCTAAGCTGCTGGGCCAGCGCCTGTTAGCAACAGCAGAAGCGGCCGCCATCAGGTTACGAAAACCGAGCCTGTGCGCTCAGAAGAACCTCGTTCAGGCTCCGCGCTTACCGTGATCAAAGGTTGACTAACCACATACAACCTTCTGCACCCTTCCGCTCTTGCCTAGCCTGTATTTTAAAAACTAACATTTATCGATTTTTGTTTCACTCACTGTACCGCGCTCCATATAACTGTACTGGCCTGACGAGAAGTTATCGAAAGCAACGTTCACTCACCATCTTTCCTTCTGAAACATTGGCCTCATCAAACAGATGCAAAGCAGGATAACGAAAATGGTCCCTGGTCTTAGGGATTTGTGGCACCAGGAGACGTTGAAAGAGCTTGAATTATTTTCCCTGCCTTACGGCACTTAAGGTGTAGGATGCTCTGGACACTCCGGATTATCCGTGGCCAAGATGGCTCTCCGAGACCGGAGAACCTCTTGGAGTTTGCATGCAAAAATCATCTACGCGGTCATCCATACAAGGTTATCAGCGAACGCACGTGACTTTAGCTCAGAAAATATTTTATTTCAGCCGACGAGTGGTCGGACATGGAACTCGCTACCAAACATGATGGAGGCGGCTGACACAAGTTTTGACTTTAAAATAAAGCCTGGTTGCAGGATTTTTGACAATACTCGTCTTTTGCAACATGATCACTTATGACCAGTCTTGTAAAACCCTTCGTGATTTACTTTCCTCCCGCACTTAATCGACTTGAACAGCAATAATCCTTTTTAACTGTGTCGTATTCGGACTCGAATATAATGCTAGATGTTTGCAATTTTTATACCGACTGTAAATATTCAAAAAACTTGCTGTGCATTAATAAGGTCATCAGGGGCTCTGCCTGTAACCCTTTAAATACATGCATAACAACGAGACAGTTGTTTGAAGTCGCCGTTGTCACCCGTATACAGATTCTCTCCTAGCATATATTGTCTGGATTGGGAAACCATCTTTTCTTTTTTTGAAATGGAGGGCACTATCAGTGTCAACGACATCATCTTTTAACTCTCATTCATTTTTAAGACTCCTTTTTCAGTGCGTCTGGACACACATTCGTCCTTCGGAGCCAGACGCATGCTCCTGTAACCGATATCCAAGGTTGTTTCTGATGAAGCTGATTAGATATCTGATAGACTAGTAATCGGGTAAACTTCTGGGGTATACGGGCCCCTTTTTCCAGCCGCTGGCTCAGCTGCGACCGTAACCATTCAAAATTACTACAGTACCCCTCGCTGATCTGACGTTGGTAACCACATCCTTAGGCGGCAGGTACACCAGTTCTGACAAGACTACCTTTCGCATGAGACTGGCTTGGAGATTTATTTTGCTTGCAGGCATGAAATGGAGAAACGCATCTCCGGGTCTGGCGTATAGCAACGAGCAATCAGTCATCGAGGGTGTTGTCATTACAGATTTAGGCCAGGGGAACAGTGTTTCTGGCTCACTGGCCATCATCAGCCAGTGGCGTCCAAGCTGCAGGTGCCCACGCACTCGAGTGTTGGACTTGAATGTATAGTAACCCGCTGAATTCCCGATAAATTTTCGCGGTGTGCCAGCATATGGGTTGGCTGGCGATGGCTGATAAGCCAGAAACGGTCACTGCGGTGCCCATTATGCTCGTTAAGAACGCTTCTTAAGGTGCCTATTATTAAAGGCCGAGCGATTTCTTCCGTGGTTAGGGATGTTCTCAGCAGTTGATCAACGTAAAGAAGTCAGCTTTACTGTCGACCTCTAGCTGCTATGGAGCCTCTTCAGTTACGTCCCCCCGGACATCAGAGAACCCACTAGCGCTTATACCCAAATTCTCTGCCTCCATGTAGTTTGGAAACTCTGGCGGTCCTCTGGTGAGCCTCTACGGTGAGGTCATCGGTGTAAACTCCATGATCGCCGACACGGGTCTCGGCTTTGCGGTTCCCGTCGACCAGGTGCACCGTTTCATCGAGACCTCCAAACGTGCCCTCGCCAACCGAGGCCGCGGCAGTTCCACACCACAGCCTACTGGCCCCCCAACAGCCACACCTCAGGCACCGCGCTCTCGATCCTGGTCCTGGTCTTGGTCCTCTTCGCCGCGGGAGTCTGATCGTTCCCAGGGCTCCGTTGTGGTGGGGCCGTCAGGTGAACACAGTCGCTACCTCGGCCTCGTCATGCGGACCCTCACTCCCGATCTGGCCTTCGACTTAGCCATGCGGGACCCCTTTGGCCGCTTCACCAACCGCGATGTCCAGTCCGGTGTCCTCATCCATGGTGTCATTCGGGGCTCCCCGGCCGAACGGTGAGGCAAACTTTTTTTGCAGAAGCACGGCCTCCCTCCCCCCCCCCTCTCTTTCCCCCCACCTCCCCCCACTCGGTTATAATAAAAGTTGATAAATGCTGAGCATTTCGAAGAAACGAGCTACACAGTCCGTCAACTTCGAACGACATCTCCAAATCCTACCTATCGCCTCCTTTTGCGTGTGTAAGTTGTTCAAGTGTGTCAACATCCACATATCCACCGGCGCGTGATATAGGCAGAATAGCGTTGGACTTCTAACCAACAGGTCGCGGGATCGAGCCCCAGGTGTTCCGTACTCCGAGGTTTGTTATGACTGGTTGACGACGGCTAATGAGCTTGAAACGGCCATTCCAGTCTCCCTTGTCTTTGTCGGTAATGCTATTCTGCCTGATTCACTGCATCTCTGCAAGTTTCGTGGCTACGACGCGTAATATAGACAGTATAGCGTTATTGACAAAGAAAAGAGAGACTGGAATGGCCATTTTTGGCTGATTAGCCGTCGTCAGCCAGTCATACCAAAACCGGGGGTGCGCAACACCTGAGACTCAATCTCGCGTCCTGTTTATTAGAAGTCCTAACCATTGAACCATGTGATCGTTGTTCTGTCAGTTTCGATTACCGGACAACGAGCCTGTGTCTGAGTGGTTAGGGCGTCGGACTTATAATCAACAGGTCGCGGTTGTATCCAAGGTGTTCCACACTTCGGCGTCAGGTATGACTGGTTGACGACGGCTAAGAAATCAGAAATGGCCATCCCAGTTTCCCTTCCCCGTAATGCTGCTCCACATGCATATAATGGCTTAAACTGTTGTCACCGATATTGCTGTTGGACATAGAACAATCGCTCCGAGTAGATATGATTCAGCTAGATCTCCAGCAGGTGGACCAAACCCTGAAGGGAAGTCTTGACAGACATCGAGGCGAAATAATAGTTGAAGCACTGCGTGAATCCAGGTGTTGGGGCTAGCTGCAGGAGTGGGCGAGCCTACTTCGTCTGTCGACTGCAGTTTTTGCCCGTGTGAGACTATCC